CCATTTTTCAGAGGTAGAAAGTTCCTGCTCTCCACAGCAAGAGCGAAGGCAGAAGGATCTTTGAATCCTAACGTTTGAATGCCTGTCGCCTAACAATAAAGGATTTCTGCATGACTCTAGATAAAGTTTCACTACCTTGGCCTGTCTGTGCCTAGGAGCTTGGTGGGGTGATAACCGGCAGGACCTGCAGCCTTCATCTGTGAACTCGTCTAGAAGGTCCTTGAGAATGACCAACCTTACTCATCCTTCTCCCAGGCCATATCTGCCTCGGAAACAGGTTGCCCGAGAGATCAGGAGTGAGGGGAGCATTCTCCAGAAGTGGGGTCTTTTCTAACTTTTAATAAACAAAATGAGTTTGATTGTTGTTAACGATGTAAAAAGATGTGGGAAGAAGTATGTTACAGAATCCTGAGAGCCAGGAGGGAAGGGAGTTTACAGCAGGGGAGCCTCTGTTTACTCCACCCCCTTCCCATAGGAGGTACAGCTGCATCCCCCTTACAGCGGGATGGGGGACACCCGTCACGTCAGATCTCTTCTCCCACCCTGCCTGACTTTACTTCATCTGACAAACGTCACTTTATCAAAGCTGATTTTGGAGGTTATTACCTCTGCTACATATTCCTTGTGCCCCTCTCAGCCACTGGTCAGTGACTGGCACCTGACTTCTGAACTCAAATAGTACACCTCTTGTCATGCCAGTGATCACAGGGTTTTAGAATCGATTTGTTTACTTTTCTGCTTCCTTTTTCATTTTGCTAGTTTTTTTTTTTTATTTTTTTTCAACGTTTTTTATTTATTTTTGGGACAGAGAGAGACAGAGCATGAACGGGGGAGGGGCAGAGAGAGAGGGAGACACAGAATCGGAAACAGGCTCCAGGCTCCGAGCCACCAGCCCAGAGCCCGACGCGGGGCTCGAACTCACGGACCGCGAGATCGTGACCTGGCTGAAGTCGGACGCTTAACCGACTGCGCCACCCAGGCGCCCCTCATTTTGCTAGTTTTATAAGGAGTTCATATTAAATAGTATTAGATGACTACCTGGCAAATGAAACAGCACAATTTTCTTTTCCCATTCTACTTAGGCAAAGCGACTCTTTCCCATATATGTCCATAACTCGTGGCTTCATCATACTTAGAGAAACAGTTTGGTTTAGTCACAAAAGAATCAAATTTTGTGTGTATCTTTACTGTTTGGACTTTTACATAGTTAATTGTCTTTTTATGTCCTTTTGCTTGTCCTTAGCTCTCGCCTCTGGAACATGTCGAGTTTGCATTCTCACGAGCTCAGATGTATAGAGAAGACCCATGAGTAGGGTCCTGACACCTGTGGCAGCCAGCTGACCTGGGAGTTCTGTCAGGCAGATACCACTCATGTTCCCGTATCTATCTCCCAGATTGCCACAGAGCCCTTCGGTCACGGCTTAAGTAGCAGTGAGCTCCTCCCCCATGTATGGCAACTCCAGCCCCTTTGCCCATTCCTCCTCCTGTGTCAGTGGTGACAGCAGCTGCTTTGTCATTAGCTCCTTATAGCCCTAGTGTGAAAATAAACCCCACAGCCCTACAGCAGGATGCATTCGCTGTTGCTCCCTCCCGTAGAAGGCTCTTGATGCTTCTCTGCACTGGTTGTATCTTGAATGGGATGAGAAATAATTGGAGGCCTCACTCCATGTTCATAACATAGCTTGGCTAGATATTATCATGTAATAGGGGTAGATTTTATCGTGTAATAGGTACATATAATATAATATCTACCTCTGATAAGATACCTACCTCTGATCTTCCTGTTTGTCAGAGCCTCATCTGACCCATGGTCTCTCCAGCTGGGGGCTTACTTCATATGGTCTTTGAACTATTTTCAGTATCTTTACCATTAGCTGGATTATATTTGCAGTGCATGGCTGCCTTATTCTCATCAGGTTTCCTTTATGCATGATGAACGTGGCACGAGTGGACAGTTTTAGTAGATTTAAATTGATCTCCATGCTGCCTTCATAGCTTTCCCCTCCCTTGTGTAGAGCAAAGGGAAACCTTATCGGTTGTCTCATACTGGAGATCGTTCTTTACCATCAAACCTTGGCAGCCATCAAAACCTTAATCATTACTGAGATCTTCCCTTTCTCTGTTTTTTGCCACATACCCCTGTTTGCCTGGAGCTCCTGACAGAACCCCTGAATCTAGACTGTGGCCACAGGGCCATCAGAGAATGAGTGTCATTGTGCTACCACTGTGTGACACCCACCAGCTGCAGTTGTGGTGACTGACCACTGGCGGTAGTTTCCACTTTGGGTCACCATTTCCATCCATGCAACCTGACAAGACGCAAACCTCCAGGTTCATTTAGCTTATCTGGGGGCTAGAGGACAGGAGACACAGCATGCTGGCATGGCTGCTTCAGGTGAGCCATCAGTGATGGCCCTTACAGTGATACAGGAGGTATTTTATCCCTGGTATCTCAGCTTCTTAAGAAACCAGACTAGGTAGATGTGGGTGAACCTGCCGTCCATAAGCCTAGCGCTACAAAGGGCTGATTACCTGGTGAAATCCCATGAGTACAGCTTCCAGGGGCCTAAACAAGACCTATTTGGCCCAAAGAGTCACAATCCCCTTGTGAAAAGCGAGTCTTTGCTTACCAGCCCACATTTAAGGTCTGTATAAAGTCTTCCTAGTCCCAATGCACTTTACACATCAGGCCATTTTTGCTGTTAATATTGTGGCCTTGCAGGACAGCTGACCTTCCACTTCGTTGTAACCTGGTAGGTTTCTCAGAAAAACGAACAAGAAACTACCCGCCAGAAGAGTAAACCAGTGTTACCTTTACCAGAAGAAAGATCCCAAGCCTGATGTTAACCCCTTGTTCCCAACTCCCAACCCTATCCTTTACCTCATCTTATCTCTCACTCTTATCTGCTGCCCTCCGTTTCCTTCATCAACTTGTCCCTTGAGCTATCGTCCTCCTTCTCCGAGTTGCTGTGTGGGCATCCCACCTGACCTTCCCAGTTCCACACTGGATCCACCTAATCTGTCACACAGCCTGAGTGCAGAGCTAAATATGCTCCTACTCATCTCTGATGAGAAAACCTTGATAATTTCTCCCTGCTCTTGGAAAAGATTCCCTAAACGTTGTGTAATTTGGGGAGTGTTCTATTTGATGGCCACTGAAGGCTCATGTGATGTCAAAGGCCCAGCAATTTTCTGCACCCCAGCCACACTGACCTTTTAAAACTCATACAAGGTGACATGTTTTCTGTGACCAGATCACTTCCTCTACCCAGTACATTGTGTCCCCTGTCTCATCCCATCTTTCCTTCATTTTCTTCAGCTTTCAATTCAACCCTTCTGTTTTCAAGTTGGAATTCTTGGATAACCCTTTATTTACCCCATTATTTGTTTTCCCAACAGTATGTGCATCTCTCTAGTAGTGTTTTCCACATCTTCTTGCACACGCTGTGTATGTGTGTGTGTGTGTATATGTGTGTGTGGTCTATTACTTAATTTATGAATGCCAAGTCCATAGTGGTTTAAACCCTCTGTTTTTAAAAATTTTAGTTCCAGTATGGTTCACGTATAGTGTTATATTAGTTTCAGGTGTACAATATAGTGATTCAGCGCTTCATATGACACATTATGCTCATCACAGCAAGTGCCCTCCTTAATCTTCCTTGCCTATTTAACCCATCCCCCACTCACATCCCCTCTGGTAACCATCAGTTTGTTCTCTATAGTTAAGAGTCTGTTTCTTGATTTCTCTCTCTCTCTCTCTCTCTCTCAGTCTTTCTCTCTCTCTCTTTCTCTCTCTCTCTCCCCCCCCCCTTGGTCGTTTGGGTTTAAACCTTCTGTTTAGACTTGTTTTGGTGTTTATGGGTAGTAGTCAAGTTGCTGGCATTTAATTCATCATTAATGATAATTAATTGAATAAACTTGCCCAATATTTTGAGACTTCTTTGTCAAGACTAACATTTCATCTGTGTTTCTATTTTTTTTTTTTCCAGGTATTTGACTTATATGATCCTATGAGTATATACCATCTCCCCTACTGTCCCCCTACATACACACCTTTAGGTTCCTGTTAATGTCCCTGGTTTCTTTCCTGGCCACGCTGAAATCTCACTGTTTATAAACACTGGACTTCCCAGAACCTCTCAGCTGGTCTGGATCTCTTCGTCCCCACACCTTCCATTGTTCTGGGTGTTAATTGGGTCCTTTTGTTTGCCTTTGATTAGCTCATTGGGATAGGGGACAGACCTCTGTAGGAGGGCTTTGAATACGTTAAGTTGATCCCAACTCTGTATTGGAGATAAATGACCTTTGTAAGTCACTTACCACCTCTGTTCACACGTCTGATGAAGGGTTTGCTTTTATTGTGTACACAAACATACTGTCATATATTATGTCATGATAAGAGAAATCATTGCAAACTTCTCGTAAGTGATGTCAATGGTTACACTGTAAGTTAGAGCAGGACTTTTTGATAAGAGAACTTGTTGAGAGTTTACTGAAGTGTAAGAGTGAGTCATACCGATGTCAGGGGCAGTATCCATGCTGAGTGAAAGACAGGTATAAAAACCCAAAGGCATATGTGGATGGGTGCTTTTTACAGTGGGGCTGTGTTTTGGAGATGGCAAAGAAAAAGCAAGAGAGATGGTAGGTCACACACAGAGATGGTAGAGGAGGCCTCAGGTCATCTTTTTGTTTAGTAAAATAAAAGGAAAATAATAGTCGTCGCAGATAAAGATGGGATTTGTCCTGTCACATGAACCAGGAGTAATGCACTTGAAATTATTAAGAAAAGTCCTGTTTACCAGGTCCCCATGCTCCTTTCTTGTTTCTCCAACTTTTCTTTGTTGTCCTTCGATATTATGATTTTGGCCTGTCCTCGATTTCTGCGCAATTAGTGTAATTTTATTCCTACCTTTCTTATTCTGCCCCCTTTTAACCTTCCCAATCATGCAGGGATCTGTGAGCAAGAAGAGCCACAGAAGTCAGGACAGGGAGCAGCTGCTATGGCTTCTGAACTCCTGAAATGCTTACAGGAGGAAGTGACCTGCCCCATCTGCCTGGACATCCTGACACAGCCCCTGAGCCTAGACTGTGGCCACAGCTTCTGCCAGGCCTGCATCACTGCAAAGACCAAGGAGTCCACGACAAACCAAGGAGGGGAGAGCAGATGCCCTGTGTGCCGAATCAGGTACTGTACTGGGGAGCTGCGGCCTAACTGGCATGTGGCCAACATAGTGGAGAGGCTCAGAGAGGTCAAGGTGAGCCCCGAGGAGGGGCAGAAGATAAATCTCTGTGAGCGCCATGAAGAGAAACTCCTGCTTTTCTGTAAGACGGATGGGAAGATCATTTGCTGGCTTTGCGAACGGTCTCAGGAGCACCGCGGTCACCACACGGTCCTCATGGAGGAGATTGCCCAGGACTACCAGGTAAGAGACCAGGATGGAGGAAACACAGGGCAGAAAACGATACTTGATGAGCAATCTCCACTTTGTATTCAACTTGCATTCCCTTGTCACCATAGACCCGAAGGCTGTGCCCAAGCCTGTGATTTTGTCTTTCTATTCTCACCTTCTAAGACCTGAAAGACAGTTTTTTTGTTTGTTTGTTTGTTTGTTTTTGTTTTTTGCCTAAAGAACATTTTTGGCCATTCCATTCAATTACAACTTTTTGTAACCCTACCACACAGGTTTAACCAAAAGTAGATACTTTTGTACCTTGCGCTAGATGGGTGGAGATTTCGTGCCCAAGAGAGGCTCTCATCACTCCGTTGAACAGTAGGGTAGATTGAGATGTAATTTCTTTCCTGGCTGCAGGATTCAGCTTGTTCTTCTGGTACAAAGAGAATCAGTCACTCTCTTTTGACAAGGGGATGGTGATGTCCATCACCTGAGTCTTAAAGAACACATTCACCACCACCTCAAGTTTTCTTCCAAGTCATGGATTCTAATTGCTATTTTCACCGGTTCTGTAAACTCTTGTCTCTTTGGAGATCAGCCTGATTTTTCCCCTCATTTATACCCTATGCTAATGCTGAGGAATCTCATAGCTTGACTATGGTGTGATTCCTGTCTCATAGAAGAAGCTCCAGGAAACTCTATGGAAGCTGAGGGAAGACCAGCAGGAAGCTAGGATGTTGGAAGCTGGTATCGGAGAAGAGAGAACTTCCTGGAAGGTAGGAGATGTTTCCTGAGGGAGTTTGACAAAAGTCTAGACAGGACCTTGGGCCTTACTAACAAAGAGCCTCCTTCCTTTTTGTTCCCTGATAGTTTCTATGTCCAAAAGTCATTTGATTGGTCCTCTTCTTTATCCTTTCCCTGATAAGGGTTGGGGCTGAGAAGTGAACCTATTATAAATGAACACAGATGTTTAGAAGCAGGTATTCACATAGAAGATGGCTAGTGAATTCTGTGCTACATTCCTGTTGTGATTTTGAGTCTTTGATCTTTCTAGGGGAAGACATTTAGCAATGACTCATGGTTCTGTCCTCACCGTTCAGTTTTCAGCCAAGGGTGAAGGGGTGGGGGTCAAGAATAATATGAGGAGACTTGGTTGTCCTGGACAGCTGTGTGAAAGCTAAGCCACACCCAGGGATCCCATTGGGGCTCAGGGTTAGCCTCAATAATGCAAACTTGAGGCCATTATTTTGGAATGTGATGGAGAAAAGATGATAGGAAAAGTCAGCTTTCCCAAGAATTGCTCCCTGGCTTCTATTTCATTTCCCTGTGAGAACTTTCCAAAGAAAGGAGTTCTTTCTGGTTCCTAGTCCCGGCCTGATAGCCCAGGTACTTCTCTCTCTTTCTCATTCCTGAAGAAACAAATTCAAACTGAGAGACAAAGTATCCAGGCACAGTTTAAAAAACTGAAGGACATCCTGGAGTATGAGGAGCTGAGGGAGCTGCAGAATTTGGAAAACGAGGAGAAAGCTGTTCTAGGCAGGCTGGCTGAAGCTGAGGGTGAACTGGCCCAGCACAGCCAGCTGTTGACCGACCTCATCTCGGATCTGGAACATCGGCTGCAGGGGTCAACGATGGACATGCTGCAGGTAAGACTCGGGAAGAAGCGCCAGCACCTGAGATTTGAGAAAAATGAAGACCAAGTTTCCTTCTCTCCCGTGTTGCTTTGCTCTTCCTGGTGGTGACTCTAAGGTTCCTTTGGCCCTGCAGAGTACCCCTTTCTTGCATCTCTGTCAGAGCTTATAGGAATAAATAGCAAGGAACAATTGCATATTTATTTATCAAGTGCAGTGCAGAAATCTGACTGTGGAGAGAATTTGCTTTGTATCCAGGGATAGTCTATGGGCCTCTGTTATCTGTGATCTAGTGCTAAGGACTTATCTGGTACCTCTTCCCGATTCAGCTTGGTCACAGACAAATGAACTTCACATCCTGAGACTTGTTCTTCCCTCATAGAATGAACTAAGATTTTTCTTCTCCCTCCTTTTCTAGTTTCTGAAAAACAAACAAACAAAAAGTAGGTGGTGAAGGACTAGTATTATTTATTCTTAAAACATTCAGTAGAATTCACCCAGTGAAGCCATCTCATTCTGGGCTTTTCTTTTGTAAAAGACTTAAAATAATATTTAAAAAATATGTATTAGGTTTATTTACATTTTGTTGAAGTTCTTAAGTCAGCTTTTGTAATATATGTCTTTGTAGGGATCATTCCACTCTAAGTTGCCTGATATATAGACATAAAGGTGGTCATAATAATCACTTATAATACCTCTAGCTTTTCCAACACTCACAGTAATGTCCCCTCTTTGATTCCTGGTTTTGGTGGTGTGCTTTTTTCTTTTTCTTTCTTTTTTTTTTTTTTTTTTTTTTTTTTTTTTTTTTGGTCAGTTTAGTTGTCTTTGGTCAATTTGTCTTTCTTGATTTTCCTCAAGAATCAACTATTATTTCATTGACTTTAGGTTTTTTTTTAACCTTTCTGTGTCATTTGTGTCTGCTTTTATCTTTATTGTTTCCTTTGTGTATGTTTGTGTATGCACGCATGAATGCGAGTATGTGTGTGTTGGGTTTAGTTTGCCATCCTTTTTCTAGTTTCTTAAAGTAGAAACATTCATTACTTATTTGAGACCATCTTTTCTGATAATAGTATTTAATGATATAAATGCATTGCATTTATTTCGTTTAGCATAATACTCTCTAGTTCCATCCATGTTGTTGCAAATGACAAGATTTCATTTTTTTTTATGGCTGAGTAATATCCCGTTATATATAGATATCACATCTTTATCCATTCATCAGTCAGTGGACACTTGTGCTGTTACAATAATTTGGCTATTGCAGATAATGCAGCTCTAATGCTACATTAGGGTGCATGTATCCCTTTGAATTTGTATTTTTGTATTCTTTGGGTAAATCCCTAGAAAGTGTGCGTTTAATTTAATAATACTTGATTTCTCACTTTTTCTTCTGCCGCAGATTTCAAATTTAATTTCTTTGCAGTCAGAAAACACATATTTTATTATTTCAGTATTTGAATGTATTGATACTTGTCTCATGGACTAAAATAGTGTATGTCCACAAACTTTTTCTATATGAATTTGAGAAGAACGTATATTCTGCGTTTGTTAGATATAATAGTCTATAGATGTCAGTTAGGTCAAGTTGGTTGATAGTATCATCCACGTCTTCTGTATCTGCAGATTTTCATACAAGTTATTCTGTCAGTTATTGAGAGTGAGCTATTGAAATCTACAACTACTAAATTGTCTATTTTTGTTTAATCCTTTCAGTTTTGCTTTGTGTATTTTGAAGCTCTGCTGTTAGGTACACATACGTTTATAATTGTTATATCCTTTCTTGACATACTGAACCTTTTATCATTCTGAAACTTCCCTCTCATTCTCTCATAATATTTATTGTCTTAAAGTCTATTTTGTCTAGTATTAATATAAGTACTTGAGCTATCTTGTGATTACTGCTTGCATGGTATATATTTTTCTATCTTTTTACTGTATTTGTGTCTTTGGATCCAAAATATGGATCATGACCTGAGCCAAAGTTGGATGCTCAACCAACTGAGCCACCAAGCACCCGGATAATCATTGCCTTTTAATTGGGATGTTAAAACAATAACATTTAATGCAATTTTTGGTGTTGTTGTATTTAAATTTATCATATTGCTATTTTCTTTCCATATGTTGCCTGTAGTTTTCATTGTTCTGTTTTCCCTTGACTAGCTTTGTTTGAGTTAAACAAATATTTTAAGTTTAATTTTAAATTTTCCTATTTCTGTGGGGGTTTTGTTTTGTTTTGTTTTGTTTCACTGTTAGTTTTTTTTTTCCCGTAGTGGTTATTCGAGTGATTACAGCATGCCTCTTACCCTATCATCATCTACCTCAGATTAATACTAATTTTAATACCAATTTTAATTATTGGATAAATGATTTAAAAAATTTTTTTAACGTTTATTTATTTTTGAGACTTAGAGAGACAGAGCACGAACATGGGAGGGGCAGAGAGAGGGAGGCACAGAATCTGAAGCGGGCTCCAGGCTCTGAGCTGTCAGCACAGATCCCAACGCGGGGCTTGAACCCACAAACCACAAGATCATGACCTGAGCCAAAGTCAGACGCTTAACCGACTGAGCCACCCAGACGCCCCTACAGTGATACTTTTAATATGGGCATCTGATCCAATGCAGGGCAGGGCCATGCAGCCATAAGAGGTTTTTTTTTGTTTTAATTGGGAAGAGAAGTTCTTTTTTCTTCTGGAGTTTATATCAGGAGATTCATGTTTCCTTTATGAACTGAGAATAAAGTCAATTAAGAGGGAATAAGTAGAATTTGGAGAAAGACATAGGGTCTTGATGACAGGGTTTGAGCTTCAAAATTAAGCTTTCATTAAAGTTATAACTGCCCCCAGATCCTTTTCTCTACTTAATCTAGTTTTGATTTTTGTCATATACAACACAAAAGCCCTAACACAGAGAGCATTTATTTTTAATGGCCCTTGGAGACCCACCTGTTGGCCTAGTTTTTGGTGACATGAGGGACATGAAGTCTGAGGTAGAGGACATCAAATATACTGGTAGGTGTTTGTTCAAACAAATGAAGCAATATCTGTGATGATAAAGAAAATCAGATGGCTAAAAACTTTAAGAAAGTGGACTAAACTGAACTCATACTATGTATGAGTTATGTATGTATGTATTATGAGTATGTATTATGTATGTATGTTAACCAAATGGAATTTTAAATAAAAACTTGGGGCGCCTCAGTAGCTCAGTTGGTTAAGTGTCCAGCTCTTGATTTCAGATCGGGTCATGATCTCAGTTTGTGAGATCGAGCCCCGTGTCAGGCTCTGCACTGACAGCATGGAGCCTCCTTGGGATTCTCTCTCTCCCTCTCTCTGCCTTTCTCCTGTACTCTCTCTCTCTCCCCCTCTCAAAAACATTTAAAAAATTAAAAGTAATTAAATAAAAACTTGAAAAAATTAGACAAAGAATGTGGACTGAATTGCTTGGTGGAGACTGAAGTGCGTTGTAAATATTGTAATGTTTAGGACAGTGAGTGAATGGATATTGGCAACCTTATGAACAATGGAGTGTAAGGGAGGAGACGGTTTGGTTGGTGAATGGTAAGTTACATATTAGACATCCTAACCTACTTGTTTCTGTGGCCTGTTTACTACTGAAATCATTAACCTGCATTTAAGAGACAAAACTGAGTAAAAACATAGGGTTAGAAATTAAGTGGACATGGATGTGTGTTGAACTTAAGGGAGTGGACAAGGTCACTTACAGATAGCGTGTAATGAGAAGAGAGACTTGAAAAATGCCTACCTTCGTATATTGCTCGTATCCTCAGCAAAGGCATGGAAACCTCTTGAGGGATATTTTGATTATTTACTCATCTTTGATTCTCCAAAGCCTGTCCTGATGTTTGGCAAATAATAGCAAATCCCTTTACGTTTCTATAGAATAAATGAAAGAGCCATGCATTATTCATATCATCTCATGCACTTGGGGAAAAAATTATGGAACTGTTGTTTTCCTCGTAAATATGTCTCCACTCCAGATACTAGAAGCTTCATGCTTTACTTCCACAAGGCTCAAAGCTGTTTCTACCTTTTAGGAAATCTGACAACCTCACATGAGTCTTCTGGAATGATTAGCCTGGGTCTTATCTTTACTTATTTGCTCTCACATTGGGACCATCTTTATTCCCACCATAGGGTTGGTGGGGATGTGATGATGCTTTGTAAGTGGGGAGGGCCTGTTACCTCTTGACTCATGTTTTCCCTTTTCTCCCTAGGATGTGAATCACCTCATGGAAAGGTATGTGTGGGGGATCAGAGATGGTGAAAGAGGTTTAAAGGCATTAGAGTTCTGTGGTGATCAGTTAGAATAAAACATTTCTCAGGGCCGGACAATTTGGATGCATAGTTTTATGTGAAATTTCTGTTCACAAATTGTGGTTTGAGTGTTCTGTAACTGTTGAGAATAGACCAGGCTCTGTGGTAGAGAATTTGGGTGGTGGGAAGTCACACAGTTTGGGTCAGTAGCAGTATCAAGGCTAAGGCGTGGCAGACCCTTGTGACATGATAGCTTTTATTCACCTTGCATGCCCATATCTAACTCAGGTTCTCATATTTCTTAGGCGCTTGGCTTATCCTGGGAATGTCATATCTTCTTTATCTGCCAAGCACCCAGAGTTGGAGACAACTCCCTTATATTTAAATTTCTGCCCTTGGAATGGAAGAGACCTTCTATGCAGCTCTTAGATTTCCAAAAACAGACTCGAATCTCAAGAAATATTTTGGCCCTAGTATACACAAGTGATCCATCTTGATCTCATACATTGGAAGCCAGATTGGAAAGGTGGCATCCTTGTGTCTCAATTTTGCACACCTATGTGACAGCATCGAGTTTTTTCCTAACACAGGAAATTCAGGCCATCGTTAGTTTGGTGGTCAAGTTCCAAGTGTTTGCAAACGTTCCCAGAAAACCTGAAAGCTCAGATGTTATTCTGAGGGCTTTCCTGCTGGGAAGCAGAGTTTAAGTTTTTTTTAAAGGTACCAAAGTTTTGTTTTGTTATATCCATTATTTCATGTAATTTTATATGATTTCTAGGATTTAGAGAGGGAGAGGTTCATGATTTAATTTTGGAAACTGTGCCTTTGAGAGGTCAAGACCTTCCTAAGGTCACACAGAAGGCAACTGAGAGAGGGTAGGTGTGAACACTTTTCCCTGACTCTAAGGTCACAAGTCTCCTGTTCTTTCTCAGGGTATTCAGGGTTCAAGCGCTTCAATGGGGTGAAGATAAAAAGTTGTGTGGAGGGACAAAAAGTCAGAAGTGTGGGGTTCAATTTTTGTCTCCCTAGGAGCAGGGTCTTGAGTCTGAGGAAACCAAAAACTTTTCTCAAGGGACAAAGGAACACATTCCGAGCTCTTGATCTGCAAGAGATAATACAAGCCTTTAAAAAAGGTGAGGAGTGTTAGAGCAAGTGGGTGGCTGTGGGAGTCTTGTGATGGCAGGGGCTAAATGGGGAAAAGGGCACAATTTCTGGGTATGGAGAGAGAAGACAAAGGAGACTGGATGTCCTGTGCTGATGATATGGTCATATTTCATTGGGTGTCTGGTTCATACTCTCCTTCACCAGTTCACTATCTCACCATCATCCCCAGTCTTTCCCTTGATCTTCAGGGGAAAGAGATTTCAGGGCTGCCTCCCTTGCTTATGTTGATTGTGGGGTTTTGTTTTGTTTTGTTTTGTTTTGTTTTTTGAGAACTGACACATGTTTAGCACTAGCAAGGTAAGGAGATATCAGTATCATCAAACCACCTTGTACTTACCACCTTTCAGAATTTTTCATTCCTAGTAGGTCTTACGTTCCGAGACCCATATTTTCCCCTGTAACACATAACGTACATATTGTGCTTCTTCAGTGTTATACCTCTCCCCAAAGACAGATTTTTCATAGTTCCCACTCCAGTTATTCCCAAGATCAGATCCCTCTCACAGGGTCACAAATAAACCTACGTCATATCCCTCACCCAACCCTGTACTTTTTTTGCAGCTCACGTGATTCCACACTGACCCCAAAATACGACGTATTTTGGCATTTCTACGGGACGAAGACCAGTGAGATATATGTGCTGGTGGAAATCAAATAATGCATGTAACAGCGATTATGGTGTCCCGGGCTCCCTGGTTATCAGTTCGGGGAAACATTACTGGGGGTTTGATTTTGGGGGGTATATGATAGAACATGCCCAGAATCCAATATGAAATTTCATGTTAGACATACTTAAAATTACCAACATGTTTACTCTGGGTATCAACCTAATATGGCTATTGCGTTAAAGGGTTAAAGGGTTGAATATAATGCTTTTGAGGAGTCCTCCTTCTCTGACCCCTTCATCTTAATCCTGGCCTTGCCTGTTCCTCCCCATTGTGTTGGAGTTTTCCTAGACTACAAGGCTGGCACCGTCTCCTTTTTCAATGTCACAAACCATAGGTTTCTCATCTATAAATTCTCTTCATGTTCCTTTTCTCAGAAAGCTTTTCTGTATTTCAACCCTGGGAAATATACTGACCCCATGACTCGGGGGGGACTGACTCTAGACTACTAGAGTCAGAGTAGTAGAGTCTAGACTACTAGAGTCTAGTTCTTGTACTCGCCAAGCTCTTGAACCTTCTTACACCCCTACTTATTTCTTTGTAGTTGCGCTTGCCTTAAGTACACCTAATGCATTGAGTCTGTCTCACCGTGTGTCCCTTGCTGCCTCCCTTTTCTCTACGTGAACACCTTCATTCATCAGCAGGGTGTACATTTGCCTTGAATAATGTTTTTCCCAGTATGATGTTTGCATTAGGAAAGAATCTCTGTTCATAATTTTCCATAGTCCCAACGGAAAAAAAAAGGGCTGATGCCTCATAAAGAAAGATCATTATTGAGGGAACAACTCTGCCAGATTGTTACAATCCCATTTCCTCTGTCATGACTGAAAAGATGAAGGAAAGCTTTTCAACAATTTTGATGTATTATCAAAGACCTAAGCGTAGGAATTATTCACTAAAGACTGAACCCTTAGTGGTGTGTCAGTGTTCTCATGATGCCTCTTACTCATCAAAGAGTTAGGGAGAAAATGAGAAAATATCATAAATAGTAAGAATGGAAGTTTATGTTCAGCATGTCTGAGTTCCTGTCCTCTCTCCACACGTAGCAAATGCAACCTTGAATAACATACATTAATGTTGTGTTTATTTTCTTAAAATAAGCTTGGTGTAAAAACTGCACTGTACTTAGGATCATCGTGAGAAAATAAATGTCATTAAAAATAAAGCATCTAGGGGCACCTGGGTGGCTCAGTTGCTTAAGTGTCCGACTTTGGCTCAGGTCATGATCTTGCAGTTCGTGGGTTTGAGCCCTTCGTCGGGCGCTGTGCTGACAGCTCAGAGCCTGGAGCCTGCTTCAGATTCTGTGTCTCCCTCTCTCTCAAAAAAAATTAAAAATAAATAAAACATTAAAAAATAAAAATAAAGCATCTAAGTGTCTCAAATTATTAATAAATATTATAAATAATTGCTCTACTAATTCCTAAAAAATATAAGCTGTGTCAGTGTCTCATGAAATTCTGTGGGATTCAGTTTTCTCATTTGTAAAAAGAAAAGAAAAAAAAAAGTACCTGATGTGGAATTGTGAAAATTAACAAACAGAATGCTTTCTAGTACATACGCAGGATCCAATAAGGTGTCTATTCATTTTTTGGCTCCCTCTCACTGTGACCAAAATAAATGATCTTAAGAATACCTATTAGCTTTCTTTCAACATTAGTACCTTCGTTTTGTTTTAAGAAATAAAATAACTTCATTAAAGAATTTCAATTTTCTTTAAATTTTAGCTGATTGTAAAATAAATTAATTTTTTTTGCATAGGTACCTAGTCTTTTTTTTAATTTTTTCTGCAGTAATTCTGTTTCATTGAAGTTAAATATTCATTTGAGATGTTGGCCCAGCTTTAAAAGTTATTATTCACAGTGATACAGTACAAGAAGTACAATCATGGGATTTCTTAGCAGTGGTGTAGGTAAGTGTTTTGCTTGCCTGGTCAGCTTTCCTTTTGCAGTGACTTGAAAGTTCTCAGGAAGAGGGAAATCCTGCTTTCCTCCTTCAGTGAGATAGGAGGGGAGTTATCTCTGCAGTGGATGTCCATTTGAGGCTTGGCGGGATCCCTGTGTCTTTTAGCATTTTCATTTCCAACTCTTTCTTAACTACGTTCAGAGCTACAGAGAGAAAAAGTGGGCTGTTGGTTAAACAGGATCTGCTCTCATTTCTGCTTGTCCACAAAATCCCCATCTGCTTCATCTCTGGATGACCTTTGATAACACAAGGGATTCCAAGGTGAATATTTCTAGAACCTGTGTGTGTGTGTGTGTGTGTGTGTGTGTGCGCGCGCGTGCATTCACACATCTCTATCAGCACTCATCCATGGAAACTGGAGGAAATTGATCTTCTAAATTTTCCCTTTGACCTCTGTTTTCCTGTCACCCTATTGCTACAATGAGTAATCTGGGGAAATACAAAAATATCTTCTAGAAGTAGCAGAAAACTTCATAGGATCATAATAACAAAAGTATGTGCAAAATTATGAAATTACAAGTGTCCAAAGTGTATCAGGCAATCCTCCTTTTGATAGCCTCATCTGGGTCACTTCTGTAGTCAGGGACAGCAGATGATGTCTCTGCCCCGCTTCAGGACAGAAAAGGAAATGAGGAGACCTCATTATCATTTTTCCAGAGGGATCTAGGAAAGCCAATCCAATTGCTTCCTCTCCCTTACTCTTCACACTTGTAAATATATAGTGTGTTTGTGATCCTGTAGAGAAATTCTCAGTGCTTTCTGATGTGGAAATGTGTTGGGGTTTAGAACCCAAGGTCAAGGAAGAATTCTTGAGATGTCTTCGGTGCAAAAAGGGGGTTTTATTAAAGTACAGGGACATGGAGCACCTGGGTGGCTCAGTCGGTTAAGCATCCGACTTCAGCTCAGGTCATGATCTCACAGTTCATGAGTTTGAGCCCCGCATCGGGCTCTGTGCTGACAGCTCAGAGCCTGGCACCTGCTTTGGATTCTGTGCCTCCCTCTCTCTCTCTCTGCCCCTACCCTGCTCATGCTCTCTCTCTCCCTCTCTCTCTCTCTCTCTCTCAAGAATAAACATTTTAAAATTTTAAACAAAAAATAAGGCACAAGGACAGAAACTATGGGCAGAAAAAGTTGCCCTGGAGTTATGAGGAGTGATTGATTATATACTTGGCAGTTGGGGGAGGTAAAGTCAGGGGGAAGTTTCCAAAAGGACTTTCATATGCTCAAGAAGACTCATAGGATCCTGGAGGCCTGGCTAATAAGCTCAGGGTTTTTTTCCCTCTAGCAAAGCATTAACCTTAAGGCAGTAGGGAGTTCTGGAGGAATGTTGTACTCTCCGGGCCTCAAGCGTTTGTCAATGGGCTGCAGGTTATAAGGAAATTTTATTTTATCTGTCATTTCCTTCAGCCTTTGTTCCCCTACATCACTCTCTTTACCTGTATAAAGGAGGCTTGATGACTGGGCCCCTGCTCAGTTCTGCAATCTCTCCTCTCTTCACCCAGCTCTCTTGAGCCCAGTGCCCAGTCCTCTGGAAAAACCGACAGATTTCTGGATACTTGTGCCTCTGCCTGGGCCCTGCCCACCTGGAAGCAAAGTTCAGCTGAGGATACAAAACCGAAGGAAAACTTGTACCCTAGAGAAGAATTTCCAAAATTGTCAACTTTTTTTTTTTAAGTGAAAGGTAGCTGTAGCTTCACATACAGGTGTGAGAAATAACCCAGAGACATATCTTACACGCTTTTCTTCTCAATTCCCCCATTTTTCAGATCCTTAATGCTACTGAGAAGACTTTTCCAGTTCTGCCTTTGATACACGCACACACACACACACACACACACACACACACACCTCATAGGCATACTTGTTTTCAGTTTTTTAACAGCTTTGAGATAGTGAGATGTTATTGACATAAACATTATAAACTCTTAAGCTGTACAGCTTGATATTTGAATACATGTATATGTTGTGAAATGATCACCACAAGCAAGCTAATAAACCTGCTCATCACCTCTACATAGTTACCAGTGTGTGTGAGTGTGTGTGTGTTTCCCCATTTCCTCCCGCCCCCAGCCCCTGACAACCACTATCCTAATCTCTACTTCCTAGTGTAACATGTAAGTGAGATCATGCAGTATTTCTCTTTCTATATCACAGATGGACTTTTATTATAATTCTGGTGTTGCCACATACTGGCCCTTATCAGATAAAGTAAATTTAATGAGATACTCTTTCTCATTTATAAAAAAAAAAGTAATGAAAATTACTTGATGAGTTATTGTAAAAATTAGTAGAATATTTTTAATAATTGCTGCTGCCTCCTAACATAAACATCCATCTAGAATGATGTTTGTTATTTTTCTGGTTCCCTTTCATGAGGTAGCGTGGGGCAGGCAGAGGACAAAGTACAAACTGGCACACCTGCTCCCCCAAAGTTGGGATGTGTGTGACATTCTTTAGGCACTCCTGGCTGCCCAAGGACAAAGGAAAGGAAAGAAAACAAGTGGCCAACTGATAGAGATCGCAGTCATACAGGACATGGGTCTCCATCAGTTTACAAATACCTTGGTAAATTACAAGAAAAAGGCAATCTTATCAATAGCCTAATCTCGAGAAACTTGTAGCCCCACATCACCCTTCCACAGTGATATGGAGAAGTCTATATGGTATAGTCTATTTTTGCTTTGTATATCTTGCTGACTATTGGAGGGGAGTGCAGGGCTTTGTGTGTGTGTGTTTGTGTGTGGGTGTGTGTGTGGGTTTGTTTATGGGGTGTGAACAGGGGCAAGGTAAAGGTGAGACAATTGTGAGGACTGAAGGAGAGGAGTTCCTTTATCCAAGGGCCTCTTGTCTCTCTAATACTCTCCTTTCTCTTGCCTCCCACAAGTCCCATATCCATCCTTTTATCCCCTGTGAATCTCTGATCTGATCCCACATCCTGGGCCCCAGATGACTAATGGTTTCCCTCTAGACTTTGTGTGAGAAGCTTGTATGAAATACAAGAGCTTCTGGAATGTGAAGAAAGTGATGTTTGGCAGTAGGGGGAGTCTAAAAGCTGACTTTTAAATCAGGATCCCTTCTCTTCAGCTTTCAAGAACTCCCTTTCTTCCAAAACACAGATCCCAGCACCCATGATGCATATCTGAGGAAGTTTTGATGGGGCAGCTTTGGGCTATAAAACCTTGGATCAATCTGTCATTTGAAAATTACAGTTAACTATAAAGGACAGGAACTGAATTCTCCCAGTTGTAGGATTGAGACTGAGAGAAGAACCCAAGAACCAAATGAGAAGGCAGCCTGACCAATACCTT